GAGCTTCTCATCCACCACCACCCCCAAGTCCTTCTCCTCAGGGCTGCTCTCCAGCCATTTTCCACCCAGACTGTGTTTGTGCTTGGGATTGCCCCAACCCAGGTGCAGGACCTTGCACTTGGTCCTGTTGAACTTCATGAGGTTTGCACAGGCCCACCATCTGCTGGCTCCCAGGTAGCATTTAAGCAGTAAAATGGCAACATGCCTCCTCTGGAATAATTTGCAGGGCCTGTTCCTGGGATAAAAAAACATTTAACACATCTCAGAATCACACATGCAGTCAGGGAATAGGTTACCTTTGGGTGACTCTCCCAGAGTCATCCATGGTGTGTCTGTAGTGGGTCCCCTACAAGCAAAGCCTGGCTAACCAGGGTTCTTCTTTCCTGGACAGGTTTGCGTTTGCACCAAGCAGAAGGGGTTTCAGCAACAAGTCCTTGCTCTCAACAGCAACAAGTGCCAGGAGTTGGCCAACCACTACCTCGGCTTTAATGGCTGGTCCAGTCGCATCATCACAGTAAGGGGCCCTTTATACTCATCCATCATCCTTCCCCTCATCCTCTTCTTAATTAGAGCGGTTGGTGGAAAAAGAATTGTCTGCAAATCAGCAAACAATAGACAGCTGCAGGAGATGCGGTTTGGACCACAAATGAGGGTATTTTGAAAGCCTGGGGAGAGATGGCTATGGGTTGAGGGCACTGGCTGGGCTTCTCTTAATACAAATGGGGGCGGCTGTGAGGAAAGCAGTGCCAGGGCTTGACAGTAATCTCTGTGTGCTGAAGGTGTACAAGATGACTGAGACTCAGAGGATGTGGACTGTGAAGGATTTCTAAAATAGGGTCAAAAGAGTAAACTTCCCTGCTCTGCCTCCACCATGTGCTTCTGCCTTGGAGTCAGATGCTGTGCGGAGAAGGTCTGTGGTATGCAGGTGTAGGCCTAAGTGGTCATAACATCCCCTTCTATTTGATCGAAATTAATTATCTGTGGTCTTCCCAACAGCTGCAGAATGTATCTGGCTTTGATGGTGAGAATGAGGAAGAGGGAGAGACATTACAGAAGAGATCCGTGAAGTACTTGTGTGCTGTAGAGGTGACACTGCCCAACCACGGGGTACGCTCCAGGGGAGTTGCCCTCGGCGAGGCAGACATAGAAAACAGTGACGGTACGTTTTGGCTGCAGCTGGAAGTCTCCCTTAGCAGCTGTCGCAGACACTGATCAGTCTTGCTTTTGCACAGTTTGTGGCTCTGATAAAGTATCTGAATTTAGCTGGAGGCAAGGATCTGTGCAGGGCCTTGTGAGCTGCTGTGCTACGCAGCAAGGGATCCTGAGCATGCCTCTTCCCTCCCTGCTTCACACCAGTATCGCTTTCCTACCCTCTGTTCTCTCCCTCTCGCCTGCAGCGTTATTCATTCCCCATCGCAGCCACTTCTGGTGCGAACATGCCATGACATTCTTCATACTGTCTCTGTGGCACAGCTCAGGTGCCGGCGGGGCTCTGCACTGCCCGCTGCCCTGGGCAGAGTCCTGAGACAAGGCTGAGGATCGTGTGGTGCTGTGGGTTGGCACACAAAACCCCTTTGAGGGTGCTGCCGTGCTGCTGGCGATTCCTGAAACATAAGCAGCTTTCTTATCAGATCTGTAAGGCTGTGTTTGGTTACGTTTCCTGGTTCAATGCAGCTGGTGTGCTTCATATGCAGAGTGTCATCTTAATATCAATAACATGCTGCTTGTTGTGTTCAGATAATATCAATAATGTGCTGCTTGTTGTGTTTAGATCCTCTCGAGTTTGTCACAGCCTCAAGAAGGGTTCAGAAATTCGCAGTGGGGAAGGCTCTGTCTAGCGCCTTTCAGAAGATACTCCTCGTAGTCTTAGGTAAGGCCTGTTTTTGTATTAAATGCTGGGGTGTTTGGGCTAATGATATTATAACTTGCATGATAATTGATGTGAATTCTGTTTCTCTGAACCTTTCTTGGGATTCATTGAAGCTTGGGGGGGTCTCAGGCAAAATTAAACTTGTGTTGTGTTCTGTAAGGATTTAACAGAGTGATACCACCCCATGAGCTCTGTGAATGAAAGGGAAATACGACAGGAGGTCAGATTTTTTATGATAAATAAGTAATTAAAAGTCTAAATTCCAAGAGTGTAAACGCTGGCAGGGAGAGCTTTTTAACACTACACGTGCATGCTGAATAGGGATGTGGGGAAGTTTTGGTTCCAGGGGGAACATGAACAGAATTGCAGCACTTGGCACATCCCTGTCCTGGTTCCAAGCCAGCCAGGTGCTGTCAGAGGTCTGTGCCTCACTGTTGCATTCAGTGTGGCTTCTTTGGGGCTACTACTCCTTTGAGTTTTTAATCTTTTTGATGATAGAAGCTGGCTCTGTGCCTATCCAGGAACTGCTAGTTCTGCTGTCTCTGGGTTCCAGGTCTTGTGCCCTCTGAACTTTTAGGTGACGCCTGTTTGTGTGGTGTCTGAGTACTCTAGTCTTTTATGCTTACTGGGACAGACCTCCATGGGATCAGGTCAGTGCTGCTCTCTTTATTTTACAGAGCGGGGGCTTTCATGTGCCAGATTCCTCCCCTGAACTCTTTAAGGTATTCTTTTGAAAGGTGGGTTTCAGGATTCAAATGTTTTGCAGTGCTTCCTGCCTTCTGGTCCATCACATATACAGAGACCGGCAATTAACATGCTCCATAGATTTCTGCTTCCTTGATTTCAGTTTCTATTCCATTTAGGAAGAGCCGTTTGGTGTTCTGCAGAGAAGACAGGCACGTAGGCCAGAGAAAGAAGCACCCTCATTCTGACCAACCAGCCAGTTGCTCTGAAAAGCCCTTATGAAGCAGAATTGTCCCATTTGGAGTTTAGGGTAGGTTTATTGTCATTACACACCATAGTAATTAACTGTGTCTCTGGCTGTTTATTCTCTTTCAGAGAACGGGAAAGTGGCCGTGGAGTACAATTCCACCCAAGAGGAGGTCACAGACTCCTTAACAGAAGAGGAACTGAAGGGGCTTGTTCAGGTAAAAGCAGTGGATATTTAGCTTTTACACAGGACCTGTACGTTACATCCAGCGATTGGAGACAGAGCTGTTAACTCCTACAGCCTCTGACACCCTCCTTTTATGCAGCAATTACCTTGACTTAAATCCCAGGAAGTAATTACATCTTGAAATTGTACAGCACGTTAAGGTTTTAAAACCCTTATTTTTTTGTGGGTATCTTTGTGCAGAATACTTTAGACAGCACAGGAAAGTGAGCAGTTTGGGTACAGGACTGTTATGGTGCAGGTTGACAAGTCTGACACATGACAGTGTCCAGGACTGCTCTTCATAGAATCTGTGAGAGCGAAAATACCAGTAAAATCACAGTAGGTTAAATCAAATGATCTTTAATAAGTTCTTAAATAAATCAAACTCGCCATCTAGAAATACACTTCATAAACTTATCCTCACCCCAGAGGGAATGATTGTTAAAAGCTTTGGTGAAATAAAAGCTTTAGTGAAATCCCTGCAGGTAATTGTGGGATCTGTTAGCATGCACCGAACAAAAATACCCAGGTACAATAGTGAAACTTTAATCATCGTGCTCAGTGAGAGGAGTTCTGCGTGCCAGCTTTTGCATGCAGCCAGTCCCGAGCAAAGAACTGAAAACACTGCTACTTACCCAGGGAGATCGCTGAAACGGCGGTCTTTTGAAAGCAAGCATCACTCTCACATGATGCACTGGCACCGCGCTGCGCAGTGTCTAACTCCTGCAGTTTGCATGGAGGAAGAGTCTAACGAGCCTTGGGTCACGTTATTCCATTTGATGACACTGAGTCACCTAGTGTCCACAGGCAGAATTATCTTCTTTGCTTACTGAAGAGTAGCTGTAAAATAGGAGGTATTTTTGTGTGTGAAGTAAAACTAACACCCACCAGATTTTTTTGTCAGTTGAAAAGATGAAATTTCTGCTGGTTTGTTCCCTCTCTGCATTTTCCTCTGTACAGCCCCTTCCATCTGACTTCTTTGATACCCACAGAGAGCTGACCTACCATGCAATGACCATAAGGGAAGCGAGCAGCGAAGTCAAACAGAAAGCCTGCTGCTTCTCAAACCTCTGTTTTACCCAAGGAGTCATCCCTCACCTCCCCTGCCCTCTCACTTCCCTTGTGATGGTGTGGGGGAGGTAATTTGGCGCTCTCTCTGCAAGACACCTTCCAGCCTGATGGGAAGAGGAACAGGCAGGAATTCGGAAGGTCTTGCTTGGGAGGAGAGCTGCTGGGTGTCCTTCGGGTTCATTGCCTTGTGATGTCGGTCAGTCTTTCCACAACAGAAATGTTCCTGAGTTGGTAAATTCCATGGAGGCTGTCTCTTGTACGTGGTAAAAATAAATTGTTTCCAGGTGCAGAGGGATGAACCTAAAATACATCAGAGAGAAAGAAATTTACTCTTGATTTGTCTTCCCAGGTCAGTGAATTGTCGTTGCAACAGTTTGACCTCGAAGAAGAAGAAGTTTTGTCTGATCTCAGTTTTGATGATGAGCTCCCTAGCCGGGAGATGCCGTCTAATTAGCGCAGCTCTGTCTTCGCGTTATTTCCAAAAGTTCTGCAGTGTTTGATTAGGAATGAAAGTCTTAACGCTGTGAAATGACATGTGCGTCATATCCACCATTTTCTTTTTCTCCAAATACGTAAAAGTGAAAGAAACGGGCAATAAACCTAGTGTTACTAAAATTAAGCCCAAAAATATATGCTGTTTTTGGAGAGGAGGTGTTTTCTTGTCAACTTATCCAGGTCAGCTATATATGGAAGCCAGCTTAGTGGCACGGTTGTTATTTAGACGGCATAACAGATGTGCATGGCACTTATAGAAAAATAAAAGGAACGATCCCTCCCTGCAAGAGCCTACAGCTCAGGTTCACTCCGATCTGCAGGAGAAAGCTGGAGACGGCAGAAGGAGACATCTTACCAGCAGGAGTAGCTGTGGTACTTAACACTCGTCTGCACAGGCACGGGAAAAAATACTTCTCTAAATGACGTTTCTTTTAAAGAAATAAGCGTAAGTCTTGTAATAATGTGTTGAGCCACATGGGTTGAGCCCCAGCTACAGGTAGTTGGGACATTGTCACCATGTAAAACAAAGATTTTTTTTTTAACAGCTTCTTCATTAAATTAAGTAAGATTTTGTAACTCTGTGTGATGAGTGAATCTCAGAGGCAGCACAAGCGATGGGACGGGGCATGAAGCTCCCCAGGTCATGAGGGTATGTGATGGTGGAGGGAATGCTTATTTGATAACAGACCCCCTGCATGAATTTTTTGACCTCTGTCTTTGGAAATGAAAAAAAGGTGATTAAAAATGGGAGAGCTCAGGGAGGAGCCACAGGAATGATTTGAGATCCCTCTTGAAACACGAGGAGCATGGCCTGTTGTTTAGTTTAACAAAAAAGGGAGGAAAGGGGTGATTTGCTCCAGGAGAAGACACCTGATACTGGGAAGGTGAAACAAAATCCAGTGGCGGGAATTTAGAGAAATCTGAATGGGGAAGCAAGACGCAGTGTTTCACAAGGGGGAATACTGGAGGGAGGCACCGGCCCTCCATGAATCCTCTATCAGGGCAAGTTCTCAGGCAGAGATTGTAATTATATTATCTATTCTGATGGTGGAGAGGCCCGAAGCGCCAGGCCCCGTGCTGAGCCGTGAGGCCTGTGTCCGGGCCTGCAGCCCCCCTGTTGCCCAGCGACCCCCGTCCGGGCCTGCTCCACCATGGGCCTGCCCGGGCCC